CTCATAGGATGAAGGCTCAGATAAAAACTTAAGACTGAGAGAACACTTGAAGAATCCACCCAGTTCACATTTAAGTCACTGTTTTATTCTGCATAAAGTCAGGTTACCCCAGATGTCTCTGTGACTCATTCTTGGAGCAGGATATTTGCAATGGTTCAAACTGTGGTGTAGATACTGGGGCTAGAAAACTGACCTTTGGAGCTGGTACAGACCTCTCAGTCCTCCCAAGTAAGTTTCCTAATTGCAATACTCCTTAGGACTAAGGTTTTTAAACCTAGCTAGATGCAAATGTTGATGCAAAGCTGTTCAGAGGAAACTCTTCTTTTCCTGAAATTTTCCATTTTCTACCTTAAAAAAAAAAAAAGCATTGCGATGGAACAGGTTCAACATACTCTAGTTCTTCCCCCCCACAAAAGGGGATTAGGTTATAGGGTTTGATGTAGGTGCCTTGGGGTGGAATTTTCTGCCTAACGCCATCTTTTTAACAGACTATTCTCTCTCTGACATTGCACAGAAGCAGGTAGCACTGAGCACTGTTAGAGAAACATGACCCTGGAGACATGACCCAGAAGAACAGACAGGCCAATTTGAGATACCACCCTGAAGTTCAGTTCTTGGCTCTACCTGAGCTCCACCGTGCGATCTTGGGTCACTTTGCTTAGGAACTGTTAGAAGAACCTTAGGGACCTAGACACTTCAATCCTGGTGAACTTCAATGAGATGGTGGCTACATTTTTCTTTGTAGTCTTTCTGAGCCTGAGTTTTCACTGCAAAAAGCATCTCTGGAAGGGTCTTGGAGGATAATTGCATGAGGGGCTCAGCTAAGCACTTAAAAAGTAGAGAAAAATGAAGCGCTGGATTTATGACACCAGACTCCATGTTTACGGTATGGCATCACAAACTGAGATTTATATCTTCAGTGTAGGTTGAGGCCAGGAGCGAGCAGTGGAAAAGGATTGCAATTTGTAATAGGATAATAAAATCTGAAGCAAGAAAGAGGGAGGATGAGGAAGAGCGATATATTCTGTGGCAATGTTTAACTTGGCCTGAAGTGGCCATTTGCTATTAGCAGTTTAGGATAAGATCTAGGGTGCTTTTGTAAGGCCATTTCCCTGAGTGCATATTCTGGAGGAGATTACAAACTTTTCTTTGGGAAAAGGACTAAAATAATGATAAATCCCCATAAGTTAGGCAATGCCTTTGTGTTTTCAAATACTAAAGTACTTGATACCTTTTTGGGTGAAATCCCTACGTGTGGATGCCTCACTGGGTGTGGGAAGGTTTGGCTCCAGATCAGGGCACTGGCTTGAGGGGGACAAACTGGGAATAGGATATGGAGCACTTTTTTTGTTGGTAGGGTAATAATTCTAACCTGACCCTAGATTGCAGAGACGTGTTGGCTTGGAGTAGGAGTTGGGGAAACAGCTTTCAGTTCTAAGAAGTAAATTCCAACCAGCAGTGGGTTTAGGGAAGGGCAAACCAGGCGACTGCCTGGGGCCCTACACTTTATAAAAATAAAAATTAATAACACTGAATATTTGTATTATAAATATTACATGAAGATACTTTCATTGCAGTTTCATGGATAGGGCAAAGTGAAATAGCAATTGAAAATGTCCAACTTGCTTATAGGTCATCAAAATTAGCCTCTATGGGGCCCCAAATGATTCTCTTGCTCAGGGCCCCAACAACCCAAAGGCCACAATTGTTCCAACCCAGCTGTATTTATTTTTGTTGGGGCAGGAATGGTTGGCGTGGAGAGGAAGGGGAATGGAAATATGGATCTTCCACACTCCTGGTTGCATGTTATAGTCTGGCTGGAAATTCTCCATGGTGGCTCAAGATTGCAACCGAACAGAGGTCCTCTACCTTAAAGTTGCCACTGAGAGCTGGCTTTTTGTATAGCCTGCTCAACAACTGGTACAAGGACTGCTCTGGTAGATTAGGTAGGGGATGTTTTTGTATTGCTTGCAACAGCACAGTTCATTCTGCATCTCTTCTGCAGATAAGGACCTTAAGAACCATAAATTCAGCAGCTTTAGCTATGAGTCTGTGCACTTAGACTGAGAATAACAGGAAATGTGAGTGCTAGGGCTGTGGTTATGCTACTTGTTTGGGTAAATATGAGCTATCTGCAAAGTTTCATAGCGAGGTGTGACCATTGTGGGCAGTTACGGGAAATCAGCCTTCGGTGCTGGAGGAGAGAGATCCAATCTGAGCAGGCCTAAGAAGCAAAACACTTCTTTGGTGCCACTGCTAGTGCTGTCTGCAGAAACCAGCCTCTATTTTTTATCTGCTTGAGAGTCTGCAGAAGTTCTGCACATTCAGAAACAGAGTGGAAATGTACAATTCTGCTGGGGATTTTGGAGATGTTGCACACATGGTCAGGGAAACAATTATTCATTGCCCAGGAGCTGTAGATCTTGTATTAATAATCTATGCCTTCTTTCCCTGCAATGTCTACATACACATCCCTCTTTATTACCTACCTCACTATTTTATCCATCCCTCCTTTTTCTCCACAATATTCATCTCCTGCAATATTGGCAGGAAAGGTGTCTGTGTATAAAGAGAGGATCAATTAACAGGCCCACATGCACACTCAGCACACACTCATTCATTCACCTTTCTTCCCTTCT